TTTAAAAAATTAAATGGTTTACAAAAATATCAACATTTTGTATTCGAAGCAGCCAAACCTGGTATTGTCAAAGCTCAGCTGGTTGCTAATGGTGCTTTTACTGAATTTAATTTATTAAAACCAGAAAAGCAAGTGTTTCTGAAATTATCAAAGAAATTAAATCTTTTTCTATTTTAGTTTTAACTCCGCCTCCTTTGGATTACAAAAGACAGAAATATCTTTATCATAATATCCGCCCATTTGTTAGAGACAAATTTAAGGATATTACTTGTCCCAAACCAATCTATGCTGATAATGAATAAAAATATTTTGGTCAACCGCAAATTTTATTACTTTATTAATTTTCGTTTGTTCTATTAAATTTTTTATATTTAATTTTTTAATATAAAAATAATAATATAGAAATTAAAATCATGACAAACCAAAACAATATTTTAACCGAGGCAGTGATAAGAGCAGTTAAAGATTACTTTTGACTTCGCCCTTATGCCTTAAAACACTTAGAGGACAAAGAGTTCAAAAGCAACTTTATTTGTCTTATTTACTTGCATAAGGATGCACTTGATTGATACATAATAGCTGATAAAGAAGTTAAAGGTTTACAATCTTTAACAACTAATTTAGAGAAAGAGAGAAATGAATACTTGAAATAAATAAACAGTTAGAAGCAAAGCAAGAAGAACAAGCAAATAGGATAGAAGCGTTAAATGATGAAGTACTAATGGAGTAAGAAGAGGCAGAGAAGGCCTTAGAAGTGAGTAGATGCGAACCAAAAGTTAGTTTGTTTACAGAGACTATCAAAGCAAAAGAAGATGATTTGAAAGAAGCTTCTGAAATAGAAAGGATAAAACTACTAGAAAATTTCGTGGAATGACAAAACTATGTGACATATAAACAACTTCAAGAATTACCAGTCTTACCAAAAAAACTTAATAAATTTAAAGTGTTGGGTAGTAAGATAAAGAGTGAAGTGAACCAAACTAAAGAAGTAGTTAAGGAGAAATTTAATGCTTACATCTTACAAAAGAGTAAATAACACGAAATTAGAATATCAAATCAGTCAGTTGAAAAAAGGAAATAGTTGGCATTGTAATTTCTGTTCTTTTGAGAGTAATAAAAACTCAATTGCCACTCATGAAATGATAGCCTAAAATACCAAAACTAGTGGCTATAATGATATTGTCTATATTTGTGTTGAATGTAAAGGAGATCTTGATAATGACACCTTGCCACATTGTAATGATTGTGGTCGAGCTATGAGAAACAGGGTAAATTGCTTTTGTGATTTAAGGAAAGATGAACCACCAGTTAAAACTCCAACCATAGCAGAAATAATGGCTCAGAGTTATGTGGGTAGATTAGAACAACAAAACAAGGATTTAAAGCAGCAACTAGCCAGTGCTAATACTAAGGAAGAAATCAGTTCTCACTTGAAAGCCTTAGATGTTTCAAAGGATTGACATGATAAACAAAAGCAAAAATTATTGGATAAAATTCAAAGACTTGAAAGTGAGGTTGAATTCTTAAAAAACAACAGACTCAACACGTTGCTCAAATTGAAGTTAAAGAAAATAAAAGATAACCTTGATTGAAATTAAAGAAGTAATTTTTTTAAATACTTCTAATAGTGCTGTAATTCTTGGGTTTTATGGTCGATTTAATGTAAATTAGTTTTATATTAATATTTTTATATATAGAGGTAATCCTATAAATCCTGTTATGGTTCATATTCATCACCTTCTGGGATGATAAAGGGAACATTAAAATTAACAAGTCTATAAGCACCATTCTTACTTCAAAACGTCATCAGCCACACTGGTCAATTTTACAGTCACATCATAATCAGCCTCTCATTTATGTCACATAGTCAAATGTTCACTTTGTCTGGTTTTGTTGCAGCATGCCCCATATAAGGGGGCTCTTATTCATGGATGGGTTTGTTGTAGATCATTTTGCATTGTTTTTAAGCTCCCCATCGTCACGTAACAGTTGCCCGCGTTATTTTCGTTTATTACATAATCACGAGCTGCATATATCATATATGGTTGATAATCAAGTGGATGATGAGGGGGGTAGGAGGGTTAGCCGTTTTCAAACCATTACAGATCTTATCACATGATCGTCACTTTCATATGGGGGCCCCTTATTCATGGTGGGCTCTTATTCATGAGAGTTTACGGTAATTTGACCTTATTAATATTGTCGTTATGGCATGTATTATTATATTAAAACTTAGGATGCTTAATCATGTTGATATGTTCTTGATATGTACAGTGGAAAGTCGATAAGCCTTCTTACAAGGTTGACATCCGAACAGAAACAGAATCTCAAAAAAGATTGTCATCTCAATTAAGGCGAACAATTAACATTCTTTTCATGGACCAAATTACGTCACGCAATTCTTTTTCTGTCATTATCTCCATTCCTTATCTCCTCAAGTTAAACATATTGGTTGCATCCTTCATTTGGATTAGTTGCATTCGTACAACAACACGTTTAACTCCCCTCATACTCATAGATATTTACACATAACACATCACAGAAATTATACAAATACAGTATTAGCTTCTCTCCCCTCCTACCACAACCATCCATCAACAACATATTCATCGAACAATTAAACATTATTATTATTATGTAACACTTAGTAAAAGTATACATTAACATTAACATTTTACTATGATTATATCCCTGTCTTACAGCCACATTTCTTTATTGCTCTGTTTAGTCTTGTGTCAGTAACTTTGCTTCAATTCATGCATTGACTATCTAAAAACAGCTTTAGTTATCAGCACCTGTCAACACTTGTACATTCAGTCGTAGTTAACACGTATCTACGACTGAACATTATTGTGCATCCGACCAATAGGAGTGATCAATCAGATTTACTTGTGACGTTGTCTTGTAATGATAAAAGATATCGACACGATTGGGGATGTGCATCTGACGTTTATGAGTCATATTTATGTGCAAGTCCGTCTGCTTTGTGTGCGCTGCTTACATCATATAAATACGCTGGGTTAACAATAGCAATCATCATTTGATACAATTAATTCAATTGTACCAAGCGGCCATTGTTTCCTGATTAAATTCAGCCAAACTCCACCTCTATAATCAATCCCTTCCCATCATGCATCATTCATCTCTTTTTGACAACCTTAGAACTTGGCTGATGGTACGCACAGCCAGTTTCCAATACGTATTTATTTACCTACTCTACGTCTCCCCTCCCTCCTCGATGCTCACATCGCATTCTCATCCTTCTTCATTCTATTCGATCGTATACCGAAATTCGTTGATATGACTGACATTCACTCTTCCTCGTGTACAGATGCGCCATCGAACGATACTTTGTATCTGCAAGGACCTCAGTTTTGGCCAGGATCCACGCCCATACATCATCCACCAACACCAAGTCGCGTGAAACGATTGATTAAGTTTATTAACAACTTTTCGTTGGTAAATCTATCTAAACGACGAGGATCGGATTCCAGCATTACAAGTACCGACTCGTTGACGGATACTTTATATGTCAGCAATGAGTTTGACCGTAAACCGATAAACCGTCGTAAGAAATGCGCGAGACGACCTCACTCGTCAAATCCATCACCTCTCAGTCGACACATATTATACAAATCACGCCACCATAGTATCGCCTATTTCCCTCAACATTCTCTTTCGACTCTGGACGAGAAAATAGCCCGACCGATATCAAAAACAAAGTTCATAGTCAACATTTATTGGCTACCGCACTATCGCATCGAACTATCCCTCCCGCGGACTATATCCCTTGGACAATTTTATCGCGCTGTAGAGAAGGTGTTATCCGTCAAGTTACCATCCGGCTTGATTGTATTGTACCATACGGAAAAACTTACAAAACTGGATGAACTGAGGATGAAGTCAAGAAGAGATCGAGCGATCGTGGCATATTGCGTGGAAGCAGAAAAGGTAGTCATGGTTGAAGAAGATAGAGAATGGAGATGTAGAATGGTTGAGTGGGATACGACAATAGAAGTCACTTTGGTTTCTTTGAAAAAGTGTTAAATGCTGTTGAGGGTTTTGAAAATGTAGGTGCCGAAAAAATTTGTAAGTAGTTTAAATTCCAACAAGTCAGATTATATGATATAATGCAAGGCTGCTTGCTCAATAAAGTAATCTTTATAATTACACGAGATCAATGTGATTTCTACCAACATTGAGTAGATGATGGTTGAACATCTTGTGTTGAATCGTTTCTTCTAAACAAACATTAGAGGACTATCGTTCTGATCCGCAATTTGGCTGAGCCGTCTCACTTTGGTGAAATGCAATAATTTAGATAAAGACAGCGACGATGGTTGACAAGCAAAAAATTCCAAGTATCAATGACTGTTGACTCACCAATTTCGAACTGGTTGTAAAACGTGAGCCGAATAAAACCTTCCCGGACTTTGGACAACTTTTCAGTAAGACCCTCTTGGTGTTTTCGATGTTACATTCGTTTTCCTCGCTTTCAAGTGCCCGCTTGTCTTTTTTTTTGGAAGTAAGATTACCGTGGCAGTATTTTAAGTCTTCCGACAAAAATTATCGCCATCGTCAAGGGTATGGTGAACGTATATGGACGGAATGTAAAACCGACAGCGCAGCTCTGGATACCAAAATGAGACAGAAACTTTTGTCTATCGCGCCGAGTCCAGATGGTAGTACAGGTTACCCAATATGTAACATAAAACGGAAATTTCACTTCGTACATGGGCCAGTCTAGATTTCTAGAGGGCGTAAACGGTAAAAATCCGTTCTTTTTCGAGAGTAAACTCATGTGTATTACTGTATAGTAACAAACTCAGTTCACAATATTAGCCCATTTACCGATAATAACATTAATTTAATCAAGACATTTTATTATGATAATTTACAGTTCTGCAACTTCCTGTATCATCTGCTAACCATGCACTCAAAATGGCACTCTGGTGATACCCTGTCCGCGAGCGTTCATAATAATTATTATGACTTCTCTGAGATATTGCAGAGTTTTTTAATGGTGCATGAGAAGAAAATGATGGCTTGGCTTTCATCATCTTCAAATCTTCTCTAACCTCACTTTCCGTTAATTTTACCGGTCGCGCGCGTATTGGGAAAATATTAGTCAAGGAACTGGTCAAAAAGAGTCTGTCGCATACACAATCAAACAGATGAGGAAAATTCACACACAAACAAGGATATCAAATGTTATTGTCTTTGTTTGTCCGTTTGGACTTAGCCATGGCGATATTGAATTTATTGACGTTATCGACCTCGGGAAAACATTATTTCGATCTGCGGCTCTCTTCGAAAGCGTTCGTGGCAGATTTTTCTTGTGTATAGGCCTTATCCTCTGTGGATTTTCCTCTTCCATCACTCTTAAGAGTAAGTCTCTATCCTTATGGTCTATTCCTTGATATCCTTTCCGAAAGAAAAGCGTACAACAGTAAACAAAATAAATTTCAAAAAATCGTGCGCAAAAAAAAGAACCACAATATAACTGATATTCAAAACTTACTCTCTGCATATTCCTTATGTAATCTTATTATTTTTGCTTGTCTTTCTTCAATCATGCTCATTCGCAATGATCTCCGTGCGGCCTAATGATCCCGTATTGAGATTATATCTCGTGTTGGCAGTACTTCAATATTGTATCGATTGTTCATTGTCGACACTCTACCATGAATTCATCCAATACTTGCTTATGTTGCGCCTCGAAATTTGCCTGCGCTAACAAAGATCGTCGCTTCCGACGTTCCTCTGCGATTCTCAGACGCCTCCTACGGACCTCTTCTATCCGTTTGTATTCGTCTGCGAATCTAGCGTGTGTACCTGATTGAATTTCTTGATGTTCCTTTTCTAACAAAGCCTCTTTTGCAGCATAAACCCTATTAAAAAAAAGGGGGGAGGGGGGGTGAGTGTGCAAAGAGTGTGGAGTAATAAGTAAAAAGTTTCCCGCATTGCCTTTAACAAAGCTTACATCTATCAGAAACATATAATCATTCTCTTACCGTTCTTTGATAATCGAGAACTGTGTTTCGATAACCATGAGACGTTGAAATATTGTTTTACGCTCACGTTTTAAAGCTTGCGTTATATTGTCATCCTCCGAATTGCTTTCGTCGGAAAGATAATCTGTTGCAAAGTAATAAGGCGCAACGAAGAAAGAAAGCGATTGAGTTTCGCTGGTGTGCCTGAATGTAAGAATTTTCGGGGAATAGCTATCAATACAATGCCAATTTCCTCACTGAGAAAATCCCGTATCATTTGATAGTCTCTTCTCCTGTACTTTGCCTATTGTCAATGAAGAGGTTATCCCACATTCACGAGAAAACAATTACGAGCTTACATACCATTAGAGTCTGAATCGGGGTTATGACTGGATTCCGAACCTTCTCGTAACAACTCTTCGCTGCCATCATTACCTTGACCGTTTATGTCTGGGTGATCGTTCTCCGCGTCGTTGGTAGTTGCTTGGTTAGTGGTGACCTCTAGTAATGATTCCTCGGAATTTCCCAGTGTGACAGTTAGAGACATACCCTTTACTAGTAAAGACGGAGAAGGCGAGGCTTGTGAGAAAGGATTAGATTAATGCGTTTTGATAATATACAAGGCAACCGAGGCTTCAAAAAGATAAAATTGGAAAAGAAAATTGTTGAATTTTGCAGGAAAGTTGTAATAGTAAGGTTTTGTTTCACGTGATGTAAATATTAATATTAATGCGTTCTGTCGTGAAGTATTAGGTTGCCGAAATGTTTAGCGTCTTCAATCCTATCGCTATACAGTGTTGATGACCAAGGACCATACAAGAAAGCATAGTGAGAAGATATTGATAATCACTTTGTCATAATCTTGTTCCGTAGAGATATATCCCAAAAAGCGTTTCAGTTGATTGGTCTAATAAATTGCTTTTTGTAACTAGATCGATTTTTATATTTTATACATATACAAACTTACAGTCTTTTATTAAATATATACAGGTCACTTACTCTTCTTTTTTTTTTTTTCACGATGAAAAGAATTTAATAACCTCACTTTTATACCGATGCGTTGATTCAATATACATATGATGAAGTACGGCGAGTCTCAAATTTCAATATCGGGCTAATAACACTTTATTCCGTTTCTTGTCTAGAACATCATTTTCCCTGGTACATGATTCGCATAAAGTTCGTATGCTTTACTCACTCGATTGCTCAAATGAGAGGGCGCAACGATTGCTATCTTAATAATAGCCCGTAATATTGGTTCACAGTTGGAATGGCATAGTAGATACTTCAAATGGTACTTCTTTATCTAATATGGGAATACAATAGCTTATTTACATGCAAGAGACAATACCTAATAAGTTGTGCGATAAGTAAGCAAGGTCGCACTTGCATTGATTAGGAGCTTGAATGAAGACAATGAGCAAAATCCCATATCTCTTACAATAATTCAGAAAGCGATATCTGAGCTCGCAATAACGAGCCAAGCAATGTATAGAAGACTGAATTGGGCCAGAATGTAATCCAACTGATACCAAGTGCAATGTTCGAAAACTCAAACAGTGACCTCTTAGTTTTGGAATCGCTAAAGACTGTTATGGAACACACATATATAATTAACTGAAATAATTCTGATATATCACATTAATAAATAAATTTGTATTAAATATATGGCAGACATCTATCTCATCTTTGAGATGTATTCTAGAGAAAGGACGTGTATATCCAAAGGCCCAGTTATATAACGTTTTTCTCAACATACAGCATCCGGTTAGCAACTCACCTAATTGATAAACTGTTCCAACTTTCGTTGAAAACTCTCAAAAGCTGCTTTGACCGACTCCCATTGCCTAATTGTTGTCATTCCTTTCATCTTGGTAACTTTAAACGTGGAAGTATTAGCTATATCCTGGTACTTCTCCAAAATGCTGCTACATTCATCAATTTCAGTTTTCCAGAACGTATCTAACGGGCTCAACTCGATCAAGATCGTTTTCAAATTTTCAGCAACAATAATCGCATGCATTTTTACTTCTTCAAGTCGTAATAGCTCCAACTCCTTTTCGGTTCCCTTGGCTTTTCCACCATTAATTATAGTCTGTATAGTAGTTCCTATCATAGCACCTCCAGATCCAACGGCGAGCGCGCCAACGACAGCTAATGAGGCACCAGCCGTGAATGGGGTTGCAGCCAAAGCAATACCTGCTCCAATACCAGTACCAACCGCAGCCCATTTGTGCTCTTTCTCTGTTTTGCGAAACTTGGAGGCATCCTGCTCTAAGATGTGGCCCATCAGTCGCTGGTCACCGCTAAGGTCAACATTATAATCGCCCAGATTGCTAAGAATGTTTTGTAGATTGAATTGAAGTTGGCAAAAGGCTTTATTTTCTTTTTCAACCAATTTTTTATGTGAAGTTGCCAGCTCAAGAAGAGACGTTATTGCGTCCAAGAATTCTTCGCCCGAAACGGGTTCTTGCATCATGATTTCGATATATCTTGTATATATATAATGCAATATCTGTTAGCTACTTATTCACACTTTTTAGCAAAGCTAATAACACCAGCGATGGAAAGACAAATAATTACTCGTTGTTGGCTTTCATGTAAGTAGACATGATATTAACAGCATGGCTACAGTCTTCGACGAGTTCTATGAATGACTTTTGTTGCTCAATGATATCTTCGACCAACAATTTATATTCTACGTCCTTTATTTCGTTAATAATTTTGGGGTCCGACAAGTCATTAAAATGTTGTAAGGTATCCGAAATCGTTTTTGTAAGGAGTGTAAAGTCAACACTGGCTGGTTTGTGGAGTTCGGAGAGGTTAACTACGAGCGCCTCGTTGGCTGCATGTTTGCTGTCCTGCTGCAACAAATAGTGTAAGCATTACCGCTACAATTTGATGTGAAAGAATAACTATATGATCCACTTACAGTGACCATTTTCTTTACAAGTTGATGTCGAAAGTTTCAAGTTCAAAACGATCAGGAAACTCCGGTTTAAATGCGCGCAGCAACATTATATATTTAGTCACATGACATGTTAGTCACAACTATTAATATAAAATAAATTAATATGTTCTCGAAGAGACTCTCGGTCCGCTTCATTACGAGGGAAGCTGCTACCATTCTTTCATGTAATTTACATCGACACCATAGTATTTATCAGAATTCATCATTCTTGATCCACTGTTTTACAAGTTTCTTTGTTCATGTCTCGTGCCCATGAGGAATTTAACGATGGGCATTGAGGCTAGCACTGTTGGAAAAGCAACAGTTCAAATTCAAAGCTCGGCCGTCCCAGACTAACAAAAGGCGCCGAGGAACAGTCTGATTATTCCAAAACGTTTACCTGGGCATCTGTGCCACGTTCGCTGGCTTGACAATAAAAATCGAAGCTCTAAACACGTATTTTTTTTTTTTTTGAAATATAAATTATTTAATTTCACGGCTTTTTTTATATTTAATGTAAACACTTACAGTATTTTTAAACCGTCAAACAAGTTTAAATTTTTGCTGTCAGATCAATTACAATCAAATTTGAATACACATTGCAAAATCATCAATATAAATAGTCCAGTCTTAATTCTATAAAAAAGTTGTGGTGATTGGCCAAAACAATGCAGAAAAAAATATATGCTCAAGCATTGTGGGAAGTTAAAGCGGTTAGCAGTCGAAGAATGAAATTCTATTTTGATGAGATATTAACCAATTTAGTATTAGTAAATTGATAAACAAAACGTAAGTTAATTATTATTATAAAAAATACTCCATTGATTTATGGCAATATAATAAAGCTGCCTCTGCTCATAAGCTCTAACCGTTGTCAATAGTTTCTTTTCGTAACACACTGTACATTATTTTAAAGAGATTCCTTTTCAAGGCGTTTATGGTTATTTTCAAAGAATCTTGTTACAAACATAGTAATAGTAATAGGGAAAGCCCCATATTAATATCAGATTAATTTAGCATAATCAGCTAACTTTGGGATGGTACTAGTACAAAAGCTTGCTGCTTTTTGCTCACTAGATACGCTAAATCAAGATTTTCGAAAAATTACAATTTTCACCAATACTAATACAATAAATTGTAAAAGTTGATATCATTGGTGATTGTTCATGCTCTGGATAAAATAAACACAGATCTGACTTCTTTAAATACCATTACTCACGAAATGGTTTCTGTACTTAGTATTTGATGTATAGCGTAAAATTTTTATTTCTTTAGTAGCTTGCATAATTCATGGGGGTTTTTATATGAAACCCCAACTCGGGTTGCGCGACTGTTGATTCAGTCACCTCCATAGTTCTTATTGTTCGTTTAAAAATAATCGTTTTGCTATAGTAATAATCCTACTGTTGCTGTCTATATATATAAGTAGAAAGAGGTAATCTTCTGTTGATTCAGTCACCTCCATAGTTCTTATTGTTCGTTTGAAAATAATCGTTTTTGCTATAGTAATAATCCTACTGTTGCTGTCTATATATACATAAGTAGAAAGAGGTAATCTTCATCAGATCAGTCTACCCAACTTTCTATAAAATACAAACTTATTCAAAATCCTTAGAAATTTGATTCCCGACATAATCTACCATAGTCTTTACGTGACACAGTATAATCTACTGTTAACCAAGTATCCGTCCCATCATAGTTTCTCCAGTATTCAAATTTTCACCTATAACAAAAAATTCTCGCCTTCCGCTAGCAAACGCAACACATTGCATGTTTGGTAAGCCCTGAATTCTAATGTGATCCCAAGTCCTTTTATACACCGAGAATATCTTCATGTACTCCCAAGGTTTTTCAGGTTGATCCCTCTCCCAATTAGCAGTCGTTGATCCACCGAATATGACAACTTTGTTTCCGAAACAAACCATTGCAGCACCAACACGCCGACCAGGACTTTGTCTCCGTCCGGTGGTGGATATCCACTCGGACGGTAGTCTGTATGATGTCGACTGTTCAATGTTTGGAGAAAGATATTTACTCCATCTGCAATCTTGTGTATTATAAGCCCAAATACTATCATCATTGTGTATTTCTGGTAAGCCTGCATAAGTAGTCTGCTGGCCGCCGTATACGTAAAGTGTATTTCTTACAAACACGGAAAGATGTAATGATCTTGCATATGGAACGTTGGGTACTGAATTATAAATAGTCCAACTTTTATTCGTAACGTCATAAGTTGCATAATCTTTACAATCATATGGTTTGTCTAAGTAAAATAGAGGGAAAATTTTAACAAGACAAATATTTCGAAAGAATAAAATCAATAAAAGTGGATTATATATATCCAGTGTTTTACCATTGCTAAAGCATTGGCCACCATAAATCATCAAGTGATTACGATCGATGGCATTAAGCGTATGCATTGAGCGTGGACAAGGAAGTGCGTTGCTTTGAGTTAGTGTATGTAAACGCATATTATTCACATTCAATTCATACATCGCATTAGTAGGTTGTCCGGTAATCAGATCAATGCCACCATGAATATATATCTGATTCGATATTGATGAAGTTGCTGGATACCTAACTGGACGATACTGATCGGATACCTTTATAGGGATGCGTAACCATTCGGGATTCTTTTCGTTTGTGCGTAGTTGCCAACACGTAGGATTGTTTGGTGAAAGAACGACTATGTAAAGTGTGGCATCAATCATTACAGCGTTTCGGTAGCATAACTTGAAATCGGAAACCCCATTGTTAGGAACATGGCAAGGGACATTATGCCATATTGGTCTGATTAAACCATAGTGATGAAAGTTGAAAAACCAATAAAGTGGCCTGCACGTAAGAGAACAGTCGACAAGATCTGATAATTCCAAATAATCGAAAATATGTCCGATGACTTCCAAGGGAAGTGACGTAAGTGACATCCGGGTCGTTAAATGCAATTATATTGTTCGAGCTCGGAATTACAAACCGTTATCCAGCGATTAATGATATTAATCCAGACCGTTGGAGTTGTCTATAATAGAGAGGAACATAAATTCCCTGTTCGAAAAAGGTCGGAGAGACTTTTTATAGTTGAAGTGATGCAATGTTGTTTGGAGGACAAATTTATGTGACCACTTGCTTCATATTTCGTCGAAACAAATCACAACGGGGTCGCCTTTTTTTTTTCCACTCAACTACTTTTCCATGTTTGTCACCTAAATTGTTATAAAAGGAACTAGGGATGTTTACTGGACTTCCGGCGTAATCATAGTCTCGCATATTGTCTTTAAGCTTAACATGACCCGGGTTCGAAGCCAATAAAATGTGTTCGCATTGACGTAATAAGACGTCAACAGTTTAACTTCATTCGGCGTTGTACCGCGGATCGTGGCAAAAACTTTTGGCAAAGACATTGCGTAAACGAATAGGTTAATAAATGTTTATGTAACCGACTATTTATAATCATGAATAATGGAACGATTGTTTTTGAAAGATTTTCTGCAAAAGAATGCCTTACCTTTGAATGGGGTGCTCTTGATTTTCCCAAAGGTGCCTCCGCTTAAAATTATTGTTAACGCATTATGTTGATCGCACGTCTTTGCAAAACATTTCGGGCATGGGCTATGATGTAATCTACTCCGATTTAGTAAACAACGTAACCTCCTTCAGCTCGACTTCGGGTTGCCGGATGGAGTTGAAATAAAATCAACCGTTGATAGTTAGACAGTCATATGTTTAGGTGGCTGTTCACATCTATACATGGTTAGATAATCGTCATGGGCATAGACATTCGTACAATTCTAGACCACCCCTGTATTATTGTTATTGTGTTTACTGCCGCGCATAAATCAGTTTTCTCTTCTTTAAACCCCAATCCGCTTGTTTAAAAAGCCTGTATTGGGTGAGCCAATGGATTAATTGAGATCCACAAATGGTCAAGGTTTGTCCATTTATGAAAGGGTTGGGTAAAAAGAAAAGTAGTGCAAGCCAGCCGTACGTTCACAATCCTTAATTTGATTTGTTACAATTGCCGTATTCATTGGGCGTTGATTGCGACAGCATACAGTCTTTTTTTTTTTTATGTTCCAAAGAGTGCGTTTACGGAAATCATGAATGACACTTTTTCTTTGTGTCCGTGCCGAATATGTCACTACGTGAATCAATCAGACGTACAATTTCTCAGTCAGTCTCGCGAGAATTTACGCGACCTTCTCCTACACTTTCCAGTCCATCGAGTGTGATTAAACATTTGGAACAACAGCTTGTTGAAACGCAGGACTATAATGACTCGCTTAAATTTATCTTTCAAGGTGTCTTCCGTGGAAATTTTCCTTCTCTGTATTCTCACCTTCCATCATCCTACGTTAGGAGTAATGTACTAGATTTTAATCTGATCTTCTTCCTGGGAAGTTAAGCTGCGAGGATCTTGAATTCAAAATGATAAAAATGGCATTAAGATGTTTTCTATTCTCATCCGTGTATCATTTAAGGTGTCTTTGTATTCTTGTTTACAAATGTCTACCGTTGTGTACTTGCGATTTCCAGACGCTAACTCAAATAACTTTTGCCCTGTATTCCAACAGTTCTTTATCATCACATCTACCCCAATTTAGAATGCAAACTTTCAAGAGAAAGAGCGTTCTCTTATCATGTCAATGTCAAATAGTTTGTTCAAGAGGTTTCGGTACCACTATAGTTCATCTCGATTTGGCAAGTATGCAAGAAGATGAATGCCCGCTTTGGTAAGCCTCGCAGATTACGAAGAAAGAAACAGACATTATGAGATTACCGGAAGCGAATGTGTTAGGAGTCGGATGGGATGGTAGAAACTTTCGTATCAGTTAATCCACTCATCATGCTATATTTTATTCAGGACAGGGCCAAGGTACTCCCATCTCCATCTCATGATTTCTTATTGGGGGATAGAAAAGAGTTCGACGTACGGCTGGAGTCTACTGTCTACCACATTCACAGTCTGGAGAATCTAGATCTTAATTTACATACTAAAATCCCCAGCCAAGGCAAATTCATGCGAACAATTACGTTAAAAAAGAATCCCGGAAGTCATCTTTTGGAAAAAGCCGGCAAATATGGAACTGGTTATAAATTATCTGGACCATGTCATTTGCTGGCTGGCTTAAATTTGATGTTGTTTAGATTATTAGGTAAGTATGACGGCGAACATAGTTATGTTTTTCCAGTTATTACAGAGATCGTTGATGTAGGGAATATTAACCACGTGAAACTATAACGCATTATGCACAGATTAGGTGAGATACGCCTCGTGCATTTGACATCCAACCTCTGGGTTGTTATAATAACATAGCTTCACCAACCTAATTTGCGGTATAGGGACTGCGCAAACAGGTATGATGGGTCTTTTGGGGTGTTTGTTAGTATAATTGACATTGATTTTGCCCAATATGTTTCTAACCCAAGTAATCTGACCCAATTCGAAATAGGCACATTGTCTAAATAATCACCGATAAGCGGACATCCAATCAACATTGTTTATGTGACTTTATCGAAATAAAATGTATTTATTTCGAATTGAATCAGACTACGATTTGGGCATATACGTTTTAGAGATGTTTTCATTAAGACGCAGCATGATTCAAACGGGCAGGGAATTTGACTTGGTTAGTTGCATGACTTGTCGCGTTATTCGCGTTATCCACTGTATACGATATCACTAACTATCGTACATAGTTCTTTCATCCGAAAAAGAATCAGTTCTAATGACTAATAACTGTCAAGTAGTTTGGCAATTGGAGCAGTGGAATTTGAGTTTTTTTTCTGATGCTGTTACATACCTGAAGGCTTGAAAGTTTGAAATAAGCCGGGCTATCAGGTTGCTCCAGTGAATACAATCGGGATACGTGTGTCGAGGTCGCGTCGGACATCATTATCTGAAAGGAATAGCGGAAGTACTGCAACGAAAACGCAGACGCGCAAGGGATACGATTAACAAGGGTTTTCTTGTTGTGAGAACTCGTATGTAGCTATTCCTCATCCGCAGCTGATTTTGAGAATTGAGAGACCTGAGGCCTGAGACCTGAGATCTGAGCGGAGACCTGAGCGGAGACCTGAGATCTGAGGCCTGAGATCTGAGACCCGAGACCCAAGATCCGAGACCTGAGACTCGAGCCCTAGACTTATCGATATAGTCCTCCTATATATAGTAATATAGATAATAATTTTAGAACTGGTTGCCAAAAAAACAAGGGTTACACGTAATAATAAATATGCACCATTTTATCATACTTATCACAAATGTCAACGGCTTCACGTTTTGTCCTGTCACAAAATGCAGTAAATGTAAACAGACAGGGTCATTGTGTTGCACGCAATGATTATATACGCATACGCCTTACGTCTGTTGTGCACACAACCGCTCCATTATGAACAAACATAAAAAATTTTTGGACAAATGAAAGCTATTGTTACTCGGCGAGAGAGTATAATTCAAAAAAAACCCCAAAAAAACACCAGTTTGATATGTCTTGTTAGCAAAGTAACACTTCATCTCAGATAGAACATACTCAACCGTGGTAGATCTATCAGAGGCGCAATTGATCATGTGTTGTTGATCGTGCCAACCTTTGAAATAAAAATATTTAATCATGAATGATTGGGTGATTTTTACTAATAAGAATATACCGACGACAGCTTCTTTACGACTAACAAATCAGATCCGCAATATCCCAAAGTTAAAGCTGAGCAATATTTATGAATGTAACTGATAGTCATGAGCTTGGGTTTTTTCCTGGGACTTGCAATAAGACAAGCGCTTTATAAATGATACGATAAAATTGCTGATGACGTGTAATTGACTGCAATCTTCTTAGACCTGGGCAGCCCAAACAATCAGATGCTTTAAAATATGTACTCAAATTTATAATCATTTATCGATGTTACTGAGAAATAATATTCTCTCAATAATTACAATAAATATATTCGTGTAAAATTCGATGATGTAATAGCAGATTCTTTTTCCGATGATAGACACATTACCCGCGTCTGGTTTGTACTACATGTAAATAGTGGGCAAAGGAATTATCGATAATTACTAATATCTCCTTGGTCGTATTGTCTTCTGGATCTTTCGAGAAGTATAAGTTTTTGGTTTGACATACAATCTGAACTAAAATGGCACGTCGATACTTACGTCATTGTCGTAATACTATTCGTGACTCTACGCTATCAAGGGCTTGAACGATTTTCCCGTGCCAAAATTTCGTGTCGGGCGTTTTGTTAACCGTTGTTGGCATAGCGAGAATTAAAGTTAAATGATATCATTGAAAATACAAGCCTTTCTATCGGATGGCGCAAACAAAATTAAACAATACAACGGACAGAGACTCCTGAATCGATAATTTCTCATTGCTTATTTGCAGAACTTGCTTATCCTTCAATTACTGTTTTACTCCAAGAATAAGGGTCCGATCTATTAAAACGACGACCCAATTTACAATATCTAGAACTATTGTCAGCAAGACGTATTTATTGCTTTGGCTGAAAAATCTTAACTGCAAGATCATAAAGAGAGGGCTTCTCAAAGTTAAGAACTGTTATTCAAAGTTAACTAACTAATCATTCTCTCTTTACTAGCATTGTTGTCTGGAAGAAAATAACCGAGCTACAGAAGCTAATTTTCGCGTTGCTTGAACACACTATTTAAGACGCTTGAAAATGGTAATGAGAGTATTGAAACTGATAGCCACTTTGAACATCATTGCAATTGTCCTCCCAAAAATGTTGGAAAGCAAAGAAGCTGATAATTTATGACCCCACATAGTTGTAATAATATTAGAAGAGAAAGTCCGGACCCAAAAATTATTAAATTTCAACTGCAATACCATTGCATTATTTTACAAGAACAAAAACTATTTAGAGAAAGAGTCTAATCAACATCACATTTGCCTGTAGCTCCTAGAATAAACAAGAAACGGTTTTAATGTTGTTCAACCGCCGTCAACAGCATACAAAAAAAGAAGTTTGGAAGAGTACTTCGAAATTATTTAATGTCTTTGAGCTCCAATGCACACTTGAACAATTTTTTAATATTAATACTAATTACAACATTTTTTCTGTGATATTTTATTTTCATTAAACTTTAAATAACTCTTAATTAATATTTTTTTCAATATTATCATTCTGAAAGGACACTAGAAAAATTTCTGGTACAAAGGCAACCCCGTTATACCGAACCCCGTTATACCGAACACCTCGTTATAATAAAGATTTTTAAAATCCATATAGAATTTACCCCAGTCAACCGAATTTTTCGTTAAACTGAAGTTCTCGATTTAACCGAATTATCTCCGAAGATCTGCCTTTGTTAACCGAAGAAAGAAAATTTTCTAACCAATAAAAATGCAACATTATAAATACGCGTAACACATTGGCGTTCGCTAGCAACGTTCGCTAGCATACATGGAGATCGATGGTGATAGTGACCATTCTTCAAAGCGACCAAGGGAGGATAGAAGTGTTTTTGCCAGTCCTTCGAAACATTCCAAGATGTCTGTAAAGGCAAACGCTACAACAAACACTAAAAGAAAACGAATATGCTTGACTGTTAGTCAAAAAATCGAGATATGCCATGCGAAAAACACAAACCCAAACATAAAGAACAACTCAATTGGCTTTGCAGTATGAGAAAGTTCAAACGAAAATTAGTAGTTTTTTTGACAATTAATCAAGTGGTGGTAATATTCTATGCATTTATTAATAAATGAGACCGATTTTTCTAGCTACATTTAGTATTTTCACTCTAATCCGAAGAATCCTATACATTAATATAACCTTCGGTTAACACGGGTGCCCCGTTATTTCGAAGACCCCGTTATACCGAAGAAAAGTGCTAGAACGGACATCTTCGTTATAACGGGGTTGCCTTGTATTTTTGGAATGTCTTTAAGGTTACGAACAGCTAAAACGGTTATCCATTTGTTTGACTGGAAATACACACCATTTCAAATCGAATCGAATGTTTACGGGAAAATTGACCGGTAAAACTAGAGCTCTATTGCTATTGTCAAGTTACTTAATAAAATATTCTTTGTAGAATTTATTGTATATTTGAAGATACGCAGTCAATCTCTTTAAAACAAAAAAATGTTCTGGTCCAATCCATTTATAATAAATTATCGTAAAATGCAATTCAAATCTAGTTGTAAGAATGGTAGATTGATATTGAATATTACCTTTAATCCAAAATTTCTGTTGACCCAAGTAACTTTTTCTTGTCAATCGAATATTTTAAACCTCATCAGTCGATAAAATAATACAATGACTTTCTATAACTTTTGTCATTTTTCTCAGTCAAAAATCTTGTTGTACGTCCAAAGAAACAAAGACGATTGAATATCTCACACTTTGAAACAGTACAATACAACTTACAGTGCGTGAAAAGTAATCGAGAATGGGTGCATTGTAACAAAATACAATTTTCTTCGCCATATTCAACAATTTAAACCAAAGTTACATCACGCGCTAATAAGACTCTAATACTAGGAACACTATAGAACTTAGGTCTCAAAATTATGAATTGGCTGTCTAACAGCCCAGATTCAACCAGTCGAAATTTTATAGTTTAGAAAGAATGGGATGGTTTTAAAACCAAGGTTTTGTCAATTTGGTTCGTAGCATGCGACTGAGTAGGAAATTATTTCAAGGAATGGTAATAAAATAAACTACCGGGTGGTCCTAATAAACTTGTTTATCGTACCATAGGCAGTACGCATTCAACCTTTCAGTTTATTTTGTCGTGCTATGAATAAAAACGTAAATTTCGTTACTTTTTTCGCGCACTGTACTTTATTGTAAAGAAATTATCATATGATTAGGCGTCGTTGAATAATCTCACGTAATTTGTCAAAGCGAGAAATGTCAAAAACAAAACAAAACTGGTAGACAATGTACATCGAGGTGCGTAGGTTGGATATGATATATTACTTGTTAGTGAGAATAAGTTTAGCGAGCGTACAAATTTGATTTATTTGTTACATAATTAACAAATGTCATGTTAACATTAGGTACTACAGCATATTTGTTCTAAATAAAAATCATGTTATAATGTGCGTAAATAAATAATTCTTATCGATAGCAGAATTGAATTATGTAATAGTAGAAAAACTCGTTAATTCAAATATCTTGCCAATTTGACCTTGAATAAACGAGATTGACTATGCAGTATGATAATAGTGTAATAAAATGGCTGTTAACTTATGTTGTAGACTAATAAGTGTGACAATAATTTATGTATTTAATACAATCAATATTAAATGCGCTCATTTTATAGTAGCACGTGAATGCATACACAATCGATCTGCTACACCTCTTGATCTAAACAACGTATCATCTGTCCTCCATTTCGCAGTTAATGCCAATAATGCAGATGCTATATTGCTGAGAATATTCCACGTTTCTGCAGTTTAAGTTAATTGCTTAAAATCAAAACAAATAAATTTGAAAATTCATTAATGGCCAATTTCATATACCAAAAAATAGCGTAAATAGATAATTCTTATTTTGTGATTAGTAATTTACTCAAACAATTACCAGACTGTATTAATCGCGCAACAAAATTGCTATATTTTAACTACAACTTATGGACACATCGACTTTAGACCATATGCTATATTTATTTTATACACAGCATATTGTAATAAAAGTAATTACGTTTCGAAACATTGGGGAAACCCCCCATTTGTTATAATTATAACAATTAAAGCGCAAAGACATTAACTAAATCAGAATGCTGTTTATTGTAAACACAAGACTATCATTAGCAAACCTGTAAAGTCAAGTCATGCATCGTATAAAACGTTAATATATTGTACGGATAGCACAAGAGGCAAGTTTATGTAAAAATTGTAATAATTACTGCAGGGAGACTAAGTAAATTGGATTGTGAATTTCAAGCCTCTGTATTCGCGTTGACAAGAGTTTTTGGATAACACACTGAAAATCGATTATAGTTGTTATGAGTTAACATATTCTGCACGAGCACGCAGAACGCAAACGTACATTGTCTTAGTTTCTAAAATAAAAAATTTTGGCCTTTAATTAAAATAAATGAACATTCTATTGGAACGTAAGCTATAAAATAAATGTTAATTAATTACTTATGTTTGGAGTAAACAAATAATTTGGAGTTTACAATACAGGTAATCAGGGCATTGTACAAATACGTGGTTGTTTGGAAAAATGATAAAATTCTCTCAATTGCCTTTTCAATCGTCAGAATTACTGTACTAAATTGTCGTATAAGCCAGTCGTCTGTGATACTATTTGAAACTAAACCGGTATTAATAAGTTTGTTAGAGAATCCCAATTTCGAAATGCAACAAGGCGATCATTAACTTTAATATTAAAACCACAATCTTATACACTGTAACACCGGCAATTTATTACCGCTCGTCTAATTATTCTTGGCATCTTACTTATTGCCCTACCGTTATTTATTCGAGATTTGATTATTTTTTCTTTTTCTGTGAAATATTAATTAACGTAATTGAAAAACGTCAGTACTTGACACTGATCACCAAAGTGGTGTAATTACGTAGATTATCTAATATATTTCGTGCGACATTATTCAGTCTTCCGTCATGTGATCATAATTATAGCGAGTTTTTATTACTGAAACAAACATTCTGCAATCGTGTTGGGTAACAAGGGTGAGAACCAAAAATGGTAATTATCCTTTCGGGAAATGGATTTAATTTGCAATATCGCACTGTCATTTCCTGTTTGTAACCTGAATGGTGTTTCAGATCAAAACGGACGGCGGAAAATTCTGCTTACCAGTCGCTACGGAGATGGGAGATGGGAGATGGGGGCGGGAAGGTTTTATTGTAGGAAATTGTCTGATTATGAATAACCAAGTCATTTAGAATTTGTGTCGCAGTTTTGTGATGTCGTCCGAAAATGAATTTTATGCCGAATATAAACAATATCACAAGTACTCGGTTATTCGCAACCCTTGTAAATCAACGTTTTTATTTGCTAAATTAAAATAGTCTAAAATACAATTTATTTCGTTTAGTGAAAGAAATTGAATGCAAGGGCAGCGAAAAAAAAATACTGCTCGTCTAGCCAATCACTTGGCACAAACATCCCTCTCAAAGCTATCTGCCTTATGCCCGCCCCCTCTATCCATATATTCTCGAGGATCGACTGAGGCACATTTATTCTACATTCGTTATATGTCACTCCAATATCGTATTTATTTAGATCCTTGTTATGACTGACAGATTGTTATCTACACCAAAAAAAATATTGGTATGAACAATAATCTCTGATAAAGAAGATGCCAATCTATTGCAATATCAAATAAACACGTATCTAATGCGTTGAGCATTTGCCAATATATAATACAAGGTCATGAAAGATTCAACAAATATAACGAATACAACATATACAAAAACAGCCACCTGATGATCATCAACGGTAACTTCGCAGAAGTTACCACACCGAAAATCTCATCGTGTTAACATGAACTCCTCTAGTACATTTAAATCAAATATAACCGCAATTTCATCCAATGGTTGACTCTCTCCAATACTCATTAGTGACACTGCGCCGGTTAAATCATCTTCGTTACCAGCCGATGTCAACATAGAATTGAAATTATCCAAGAATTCCTCTTCAATAGGACCTTGATCATCCCACGAATTGACAGCGGAAACTAACGATGAGCCAGCGTTATTTTTCATTGTATTATCCGAGGCAGAGTTGGCACTCGTCGGAGAACTAATATTAGAATTAGAATTAACACCCGACATTACGCTCGAAGACACCGCCTGTTGCTTCAGATGCCAGTTAATAGTCTGCATTTTAGTAATCTTATCGGCAGGGAATTTACTTCCAGATCTGTCTAATAGACCAGTGACATTGCCCTGTCTTCCATTGACCACTGACCATGCTCGCTCAGGACTAACTGCACTCGGAGGGATAGAAAATAATCTTGTAGCAAATGCAGACAATTGAGGCGCCACATCTGCTACTACTGACCAAAATCTCAACGGATTTCGTGTCAACGACTCCTTTGTAAGAAAGGCCCTTGCAAATTCACGTTCTTTGTAGACGAAATTAAGTAATTGATCAACAAATGCGCTCTCATATTCTTGATCGTCCACTCCCATTATCTTCTTGTAAAAGTGCAGCGTTCTTTCAATTATGTCATTAATCCGGTTCTTAATTATCCCATTACCACGATGATATGGGTGCAGTAGCCAGGTCGCCAGAAAGTACGATTGGTCTACATAAGACCACCGCTTGTTCATGAATCTCAGTAACCTCTGCTGTAACTCGGGAACAATATGCATCTGCTGAATCCTGGAATACAGGATAATCCAATAGACCATCACCTCACTAATGGAACACCCGGGCGACTGGAAAACCTCAACAATCTTGGCATAAGGATGCATGATGGTGCAGAATAAATTTAGTTCGCTCCAGAATTCGTCGTTTTTAATATATCTCAGTACGGTAGCGCCAATCTTGTTCTGAGTATTAAACGCAGCCGGATGATTAGCCAATGGCATGAAACTGGCTTGTACTAGGTGAAGCGTATTGGCACAGTGATAGAGCGATTCCCAGTTTGACAGATACGGCCGAGGAAGTACGAGATCTGGAAGATTGCTGATTTGGCGAAGCATATCCATTGGATTCGAGTATGATCTGAAGAAATCAACCACCGAAAGAATGTTTTCTACTACGGTCTTGAATGCCGCATTGAGGATGTAAGCTATTAATAAGTTTGTCTGATGAGCCATGCAAGGAAGTACTAGTACTCTCGGATTTTTGTCATTGAGCGATTTCTGTACTCGTGAATGGTTTCCTCCGTTATCGAAAATAATAGCCGCCACCTTTTCCACTCCAATGTTGCAAGAGATCTCGTCAATATGCGAAACTATTTTCTCGGCTTGATGGCGCTCGTTGCTAATATCCAATACATCATACAATTCGGCGTTTCTATTCTGGTTGATAACCAAGAAATTTACAAAATCGCTTGGTCGTTGACTGCTCCACCCATCAGTTGCAATGGTTATGTATGTAGCCTCATTTATAGTACGATCTATTTCCTGTTTCACAACGTTGTATTCAGTGTCCAATATTTCGTTCGACAGGGCTCTACTCGACGGGAGTTTATATGTTGATCGAAGAAGCCGGACAAGAGCGATAGACTCTGCATTCTCCACCCATGAGAAGTCACTGCCAGTGGCTAATAACGTTCGCAACACCTGCCTGTCAAGAACAGCTTTCTCCTGGTTTAGTTGATTTGATGAGTTACTGAGATTTTCCTGACTTCTGGTTATCGAAGTAACCGTTTTACGACGCTTAGTTGGACTATGTAATGTGTTGTTAGGAAAACTTGCTAGAGTCGTCCCGATACCGTCGATCACATGAGATGCATCTACTTTAGAACTAGCTGGTTGTTGAGCTGAATTATTATTAGGATTATTATTAATCTTACTATTGTTAGTGTTGTTATTGCTAGTAGTGCTTATAACTGAAGAATGCTGATTTTTCTTGTTATTAGTTTTGGGTTTGAACGTGAAGGAAGGGTCTGTAGCGACGTCTGACGGTAACTCGTATTTTGACTTGACATCTATCGGTACATGTAGACAAGCTAGTAAGTGTCTTCGCATGGTGTATGGAGTGCCGCCTATGCCTTTCGCAGCGCCAGTTGCTCGTCTGCAATGGAGACAGAAAGCCTGATAGTGTGCCGAGTTTATCTTCTCTCCTCTCTCAAATTCCCCCCATATTGCTGACTCTTTTCTTCCCCTCTTGGTAGCATGTGAGGGAGTATCCTCTTTTGTGTGGTCTTTGTTCTGTGTGGTGGGTAAGTGAGGTATGGGAAGTGAAAGAGAATTATTGGGTAAGTTTATTGACATTTTTGAATCTGTGTACATCGTAGATTCGAGCGGGTGAGGTGGGTAATTGTTGGAGTGGTAAGAGAATATGTGTAGTGTTTGTGGTGGATATGTGGGAGGTTATTAGCAGTTAATTAAGATAATGTTTGAAGTTCCAAGCCACCTATATGAAAAAATTGTTTAACAGAAATTATTAGGTGGTACAAACATTATTACTAATGGTAATATTGCTTATTATTGTTATGAGATGCATATTTAAATAAATAAATAATAATAATAAATAAATTATAATAAATATGGTAATAGTAAATAAAATATCACGCTACTCAATTGAGACACGTGATACCAATCATATCCATACGTAAAAATAACGTGATGATGAATGATGATGATGAGACTCGACGGCTTTTCTGGAACCATCGATATCTGCGAATTTGTCATTCGGTTGAAACCACGCAACGCTCTGTCATAACCAGTAAAAAGCAATATAAATACAAACTCTAGTTTTCTCTTCACACACGCTCGGTAACAAACGCTATTACAATTGCATCAATGAGCTTTGTCGGGACTGTATCTGCAGGGAAAAAATTAGCGGATTGCTTCAAACAATGATATTACGTACTATAACATTTTACTAATTCGTGGTATGGTTTTATATTCCTAACGAGGCTTAATTAATAAGTGTAACGAAAGTAATTATTTGGATATTATAATAACAGTAATCAATATGAATTTATCTTTGAATAATCGTGTGATGGAGTTTCAACCAATTGATGTTACGTTGAATTGAATAAGTGTAGTTTACCTACCATTGTTTACAAAAGATTGGTAACCGGGAATGATTATCTGAAATACAAGGAGGTACACATTCTTTTTTCAAACATCGTCAAACCTTACCACTACGATGAAAGTGTATTATGAATTAATTATTAATAAAGTATAAATGGTATAATATTTGCTCAATAGGCAATTCAAAAGTTGCAATGTAATGCAAGTAAAAAGTTAAGACTAGACCAAACATAACGATAAACTTTTCTATCAGAGTTGTATCGATGTATACAAGTACTCTGCTGAGATGCACTCAATATAAAAGTACTGTAATTTTATTTCGTTTAAATTAACCTGATTTCAGGCTAACGTTTATAATAACAATTATATAATAACAATAATACTGTAATTATTAATGTTGTTGTCGGTTTGTTATTGTTATTTCTTTTTCCGTCAAAAACTCTAATACGTTAGTGTGGCGTGGGAAATTTTACAAATTACGAGCGACCTGGCAGATTTGTGTTCAAAAGAGTTATAACAATACTAATACATCTGCCATAAACTGACTTTAAGCAAGAACTGGGTAACTTTCGGTACAAATTTTGAGTTAAGTTAAGATTAAATAAATACAATAAAATTTTAGCTAAAATTATAGTAAATTATAATAACGTAGGCATTTTTCTGATGCCATAATTATACATTCAAAAGCTACTAATTTTTGGAAAAAAATATACTGCAAATAAAACGTGATACAACCCAACGTATCATCAGAACGTGCTAAACCGTAAAAATACTGTAACTGTAAAAATGCTGTAACTTATTTTTTATACCGGCTTACAAGTCATAATGTCTTAAACACAGTATTAATTAACCGCCGTCCTGTTTTCAACCCTCTTTTTCATTAGAATAAATTTTTAACACGCTGAAACTCGTTAAAAGTTCCCCTAATCCGAAAAATAGCATTTATCACTTTTTGAACAATACCATAACCAGCAAACTCCACAAGACAATTGTTTAACGTTCTAATGCGTATAGATAGTAGGTAAGTTTCATAAACAACAATTTCGCATACAATACGAAACGACAAAAACGTATTGTTTTCATTACCTGCAAATTTAATACTCTTTTCGGTATTAATTAATTTTTTGCCCTTTGCCATGTTAATATTGTTGCATCGCGCAATGTAGCTTTGTTTTTGCTAAATACAATTCTTATTTTTTAAAATCGACATGTTTGTGCAGTTCGCCAGTTCTACAAAGTACGTTGTAAAGTTCCTCGCGATCTACAAAGTACGTTGTACAAAAAGCCGGGGTAAATTTCTGAGTGTTCGTTTCAGAAAACCCCAGTTGCCTGTTTATGGAGATAAAATGTCCTCACGTGTCAAGGGAATTTACGACTTTATAGTTACGTATAATGCTCAAACTTTACAAAGCTTGTGAGTGTTGATAATTCGATTACGTCATTGAGTGACGTTAACGCAGTTGGACGCGTACTATTAAAGACGGTTTAATTTATTTTATTTTTAAGAAAAAAAAAGTTATTACTCACTTAACTTGCAGAAATAATAGTACAATCGATATATAAAAAAAACTGTATACACCAATTTGATGAGTAAAAAAGTAGACAAAACTCGGTATGCTTTTTTTCTTTAGCCGATAAAAGCGTGTGTATTGTTCATTGAAATAAACGACACTTTGCCAAAGCTGGTAAAGCACAATAATGCTTTTAACAAAATGGGTTATTCGCAAACGATTCTCAAGAATGAGGTAAATATGACGGGAAATTACGCAAAAGCATGGCGCGAGTTGCAGCCGCGGCGTTGGGATAATACCGTATTGTCGAAAGACAATGATGAGTATTACCATATTAAAAAGTCCTGAACTTGAATGACAAATGCCTCGTCATATGAAATTTCATAGACTGTTGGATGAATTTCCACCGCAAATATCAATAGCATAAATTGATCAGCAAAATTATCTAATACTTTTTGAGCATCTCGGAAAACCGATAGACGGGATCTGTTTCCGTAGTTATTGGCCAGCACGTTATCAACTGTTTATTATACTTTTTGGTTAGTCTTTGCAAAGTCAATCATGCTTTTGGAATTGGGACAATGAACATTCGTATATAAATTATACACATTCTGAGCGGCAACTCGTTCATTGAAGCGGTGAAACCTATACTTATACACGCCATTACGTCAGTAAACCCTTTATTGAACGACTTTATCCGAACAAGTAACTTAACATTGATCATTGTATTAGTCATGCATGGCGCAATATCTACGTAAGACCCTGTAGGACCCCGCTTTACAACTACAAACATTCTAAAGTTCACCTGCACATACCAAAGTATCTATCACGTGAGTCACACAACAATAGCCAAAGAGAACTTCCTATTGTTACCATTGATTGCCGAGAACTCCGTAAATCATTGGTAGTCTATCAAACATCACCGCTGTGTGGCTGGTTTTCAACACCTATTTTCTCTTTCTTCCCTCTCCGAGCGAAAAACTCGACAATCATATGACCAGTTCTAATATGAGCGCCAGTGAAGCAAAGAAAATCACTTTAAAGAGCTGCGACGATGTCGAGTTCAAAGTTGACATACGAGTCGCAAGTCGCTCCATCTTGCTCAAAAATATGATCGAGGGTATGTAGCAAAACTTGTTAAATGCTTACGATTGTATACAGTGTTAGTCACTCCACTGTTAAATAGACTAGTGCGCGTGGACCCTATCCCCGCTTTCCCGACCGGAGAAGTGCTAATAGGGATTGCCGTGTAATCCTTTAGAAATACGTTGTTCACTTCACTTACTACGCGTATTTATATATGTCTTGTCATAGACGTCGGTGAAACCGACCAATCGATTCCCTTGCCTAACGTAAACGAAAGAGTTTTAAAAAAGGTGAGTTAATAATAGAAAGAATTACATGATTGCTAATTGTCGACATATGATTTGTATTTCATCTAAATAGTAATCCAATGAATTAATGAATCATATATACTCAACGCATGTATCTTTTTACCTTTGTATGTCAACCTACTTCTTTATTGACAGGTTCTCGAATGGTGTGAGCATCATAAAGATGATCCTCAGCCAGCCATGGAGGACAGCGACACCCGCAGGAGAAATACCGAAATCGATGAATGGAATAAGAAATTTCTTGAAGTGGAACAGGATATGTTGTTTGAGATTATCTTGGTAACGATCACTTTGAAATTAACCATCCCCCTATTATCGCATCGAGTTTATCTAATCGAAAGCAAGAAAATGGAAAATGACTTTTTTCATCTTTTTTAATTTAGGCCGCAAATTACCTGGACATCAAACAACTTCTGTAAGCATGTTTTGCAGTTGAAATAGTGTTGGAAATTTTCATTGTCTTTTTACTCACACTAGTCAATTCATTATCTTTTTGTTTGCTTGGCACGTTAGCGATATCGGCTGCAAAACTGTCGCTAATATGATCAAGGGAAAGACACCGGAACAGATTCGGGAAACCTTTAATATTCAAAACGACTTTACTCCAGAGGAGGAGGAACAGATTCGTAAAGAAAACGAATGGGCTGAGGATCGATAAGGGAGTTATCGTTAATAAAATATCGTTTATTATTTGAAAAGCACGCCTTAAGGGTTGGACACATATAGCTTGAATTAAATTGCTGGTTGATTTATTAACAGTATAAAGAGTTTATTGCTCGCTCTTTATTTTTACCTTGTCTATTTGCTGTTATAGGTAAATATAATTTTTTTTCTTTATCGTGTCATTCTGCGTCGTCATCTCTCCCCTACGTTCCACGCCTATTTTCCATTTTCTTCAACATCTAATATCTTCTCTGCGTTGGATGCTCCAGCGATTTTCAGTCAATTGAAATCGTTATAACCTTAATTGACCTCTTATTCGATGATGAATCGGTTTAATTTGCTGATAAGTTACAATAATTAGATGATGAGCTTAGAAAACTGCTTAATAAATTTTAAGAGATAAACCCACTTTATCCTAAAGACATCTTGTATGTTATAGATTCTTTTCCGCATATAAAGGGCAAGTCGATAGAATAAGCCCGTAATATGTCGTGATGGATTCGCAGAACAAATAGAAAGAAACGCTTGTTATGGCTGGCTTGATCGAAACGTCCGGATGCCATCACCAGATTTACTTATTTAATTATCGCTGTTGATGGTATCCATAAGTCATTCGAGTCTTTAAGCGTTTCGATCTTTTGTGGATAATCCATTCACCGATTTCTTTAATAATTGCATGAATAGATATAGGGTAAACGAAGCTTTCTCTTCCATAGTTGTTGCTGTCCCGATAACAAATCCGTTCAGTCACAAACATTTCGGAATCACATAGTCCGTGGCAAATGACGCATTCCTTGTTTAATAGAACGATACAATAATAAAAGTTCTAATTATTGGTTATCCTGTCATAAATAACAAAGACAACGATGTTCAAGGTATTCTTTACGTGTTGAAGAATACAAGAATATTTCGATTCTGGAGACTATTTACCCGATATCCTTCGAACGAGCTGGCGAGTACGAGTGCATGATTTAAATGCAACAATAATATAAATATAATCATAATCAGCCACCAGCGCACTTTATTAATTTTATTTCAGTCGTCTTTTTGATTATACATTTACGCAAGGAAGATACTCATAAGACCAATAGAGCATAGGCAACTCTTTGATAATTGCGGTAAAATAAAGTGCATCTAAAAATAACAGACAATTAATAAAATTGACCATTCTATCATAAATAATACAGATTAAAAGTTCATCTTTGAAAGATTGACAATAAAATTTCATACATAATCTTCCAACTCGATTGACGGAATCTAATGATAAACAATAAAATGTCTTCCCTGTTATCTGACCGCTAATTACCGCTTTCAACCCTTTCGAATCCAGTCCTTGTTGCGTGGCAACTAGGTAGAGATGTGCAATAGCAAAAGTTTTTTGTATTGTGGGGACTGATTAAAACTAGTCCGAACAACATGTCTTTCCCGTGCACGTAATCGGCAAGAGCTTTCATACCCGATGGGAAGGCATTCTCGTCAGGTAGAATCTCACCGCTCGGACTTCTTGTCTTTTGCCAACAATCATCCAGATTGACATAGCGATACCCAACATCTCTGAGTCCGGTTCTAACCAATGCATCAGTTGTCTCTCGAATCAAGTTTTCGTTGATGCGACAATGAAATTTATTCCACGAGTTCCATCTGAATTACGTTGCATGTTGTTAAAAATGCAATAATGAACGAAGAAAAAGTCCTATAGTGTAATTCATACCCCATCGCTGGTGTTCTTCCGAGGCCATTGTCGAGTGCTTTGACATTGTTCCAGATGCATAAAATGAGAATTAAACAAAGAAAATACATTCCTTTGAGTATTGCCTTTGACAAGCCGCTAATAATTGTCAATCAATTTTGCATAATGAGTACGTATAATGCGATAATGGTAAATTTAAGTTGTTTTTCACCGAGCACAGATCCAAAAGTGAAAACTTACACCACATATCTCAGGGGCCGTCCTTTAAGCCACAGCGGGTATGCATTTAAGCTCGCTTATGAAAATTTGCGAGAATAAAAACGGTAGAAGATCAAGCTAGCAAGACCCAATACTGTTCTTGAAGTAAACGTTCGAATATGAACATACGGTATATTATAACAATTAATTAATGATCATCGGATTGACGGGACTCGGTCTATCAAGCGCACGTACTCTTGCACAATCGTGTTACAAATATGCTGAGCCTTCTCAAGGGGCTTAATGTCCAAGCCCTGATGTTTGCCGTAGAAGCGAATCATATTGCACGAATACCATAAGCTGGGAAATTTTTCAAGTACAATCAACATTGTTATGTTTTGATATCAGATACATTCATATACAGAAAGCAAGATTACATTTTGGAAAATCAAAATGTTAGATAAATGTTCAAATTTTATGCCAAACATGATCTAGAAACAAAAAGTCTTGGGAGTTAATGGAACTGTGAATGTTTTAAGGGCGAATAAACCGTTTTAGTGCCGATGAACTCGCCTCTGAGTCCACTTTCTCTGGTTTTGTCGTGGTTCTACATCTTTGATACTCGATCATGTGATTTTCCTTATATCAATCACAATAACCAGGTGATATAACCTGTACTCCCATCTGGCACACGCCTACTGATCTACAGGAAAAAAAACAATCACACAAGCAGCTGAAACCTAAAACCATGGCTGCTAGGCTTCCATACGAATGTCTTGAACTCATTGTCGACAATATTCCAAAAGATGATATTGCCACTCTTCATTCTGCTCTTTTAGTGAGTAAGGCATGGTGTAATGTAGTAGTCAGCATTCTGTGGAAGCATCCATTTGCGCTTGCAGCCGATTTGCCTTCACATCACAAGATCATCTCCGTGCTCTATGAAAGCTTATCTGACGAAGCAAGAGAGTCCACTAAAATCGATATACCATCGCGAAAGAAGAATCACACGTTCTCGTACCCTTGTTTTATTAAGGAATTGGATTTTGAGAACCTGTACGATTTGGCGTTGACTTGGCGATGTGTTGTCGAAGAGTCTAGATTACGGGCATGGTATAAATTATATCAATTGGATGAAGCAGATGTAAAAGACAAGAAGTATTCCAAGTTATTGCAAGCTCTTGAATATGGATGGGCTTATGAGCAAGATGGTGATGATGACGATGACAATGCGAGTTTACTTGCCGCCGGTAATTCGAACATGGAAAAATGGTTCAGTGACGAGGAGTTTTTGCGTGATTACATAAGTGGTGAGCTTGGGCTTGGAGATGTGACTGAAGATGAATATGATTTTGAAAATGGATCTGTAAATTTTCTCGATGATAACGACGATGGCCATGATCATGATCATAACCATGACCATGAAAATGACCATGGAAATGAAAATGAAATTGAAAATGAAAATGGAAATGAAAATGAAAATGGAAACGAAAATGAAAATGAAAATGTGAATGGAATTGAAAATAACAACCATACACTTGATGGTGACGATAATAATGACAGTGCTGATGTTGACGACGATGACGACGATGATGACGACGATGATGACGATGACGATATCGGGGACGATGACACGGACTTTTACTTTGAGACTGATGACGAAGACGACAATGACTTAGACGACGACTATTTCGACGATAGCGACGATATTGATGATTCGAGCTTATACGACTCTGACCTTCCTGAAGATGATGCAGAGAATTACAGGCGGTTACGCCTGAGAAACA